AATCTTTTAATGTAACTAAAAATGACTTAAATTATGATCGTTAACCTACAGTACAGGTAATAAATAAAATTATCGGGTAGCTTACTATGATTTATCTGCCTAATAATTTTATTATTGGGCAGAAAAAAAAGTTTAAAATAGTTTAAACTATCGTTTCTTCCCAATAATAAACCATTGAGCAGAAAATTATAGTAATCTACCCGATAAATCCATTATCCGGCAGTGCCTGCCTGGTAACTATTTATTACTACCCTAACCCGTGCTAACAGCTAGTAGCTTAATAAATCACAAAGATCGATCCGATAAAAGCAGCATTATACGATTAGAACTTTGCGAGTCAGATTCGTATCGAGAGAATTTTATAAATGCATAAACATTTAAAATAAATAACGGTAATGTTTTATTTAATTAGGGACAAGCGACTAATTTTACAGTAGTGCATCTAATATTATGAAAAACATTAATAAAAAATTAACAATTAATTATGGTATCTAGACTATATTAATATAAGATAAATCTAATTACTCTTATGTCAGTGTTTGGGTTTTTTTGTAGGTTTTGCAGGTGCGGGTTTGGCTGTTGTGCAACCAGGTTTGCCTAGCAGAACGTGAAATACGGTAATTAAAAATAATATTCCACAATTAGATAAAAGAAATATTTAATTTTAATTTTAATGCTTACCCTTTCCGTCTTTTCCATTGCCATTTCCATGATTGGATAAAATGGGCACTTCGTGACCATGTACAGGTAATCCATGATTATCTCCATCGCCACCCTTTCCTTTACCCTTTCCTTTACTCTTTCCTTTACCATTTCCGTCACCCTTTCCGTTACCATTTCCTTTACCATTTCCGTCACCCTTTCCGTTACCCTTTCCGTTACCCTTTCCGTTATCATTTCCTTTAACATTTCCTTTAACATTTCCTTTACCATTTCATTTACCATTTCCTTTACCATTTTCAGGCAGCACTCCATGGATGTTTACTGGAGGATTGTTTCCTTTAGAAGAAGGATTGTTTCCCTTAGAAGGAGTATTGTTTCCCTTAGAAGGAGTATTGTTTCCCTTAGAAGGAGATTGTTTCCCTTAGAAGGATTGTTCCCCTTAGAAGGAGAATTGTGTCCGTTATCAGAATGCTTTCCGTGCTCTACTTCGGATGTACCATTACGAGGTTTACCAGATTTTTCTGATGTATACGGTAAACTTACAGTCGATTGAGCAAATAATGCAATTGATAACAAAATAGCGATAAAAGTTAAATTAGACCTCATATTTATAAGAGATGTAATAAGAGATGAAATGAATGTGGATATTAATGTAAAATAATGATGAAAAGTTATTAAGAAAAGAATGGAAGAATATGTTGTTTGATCGATTTGATTCAAGAGATTTTGGAAGGGTTTTATAAAGGATTTTTTTCGATATACCGTTACATAATTGGTTATCTGCAGTTATAGCATTTCGCTGCAGTATATTACATGTTATATAGAATTTTGCTACAGTAATTTGTCTTGTGTGTTAATATTTTATATGGTTGATCTGCAAATCCAATGTTAGCACTAATCAAGGTGTTTTTTGTTTTTTTGTTTTTGTCCCTAATTCTTTTTATTTGTATTTATTATTTGTATTTATTATTAGTATTTATGGTTTGTATTTATTATTAGTATTTATTATTAGTATTTATTGT